AGCTTGCACGAGTACATGAAGGAGTTCGAACGTCTAGCATGTCGTGTGCGAGATTGGCCCGAAGAAGCATTGGTGGGGACCTTCATAGGAGGGCTGAAGTTCGATCTAGCCACTGAAGTTCGACTGGAGCGGCCAGACACGATGCACGTAGCCATGGAGGTAGCCCGACGATGCGAGGAACATGTTGCAGTCACGCGAAGGGGACGGGCGGATGTCCGCTTCACGGACACGCGGCGCACAGGCCCGAGCCAATCGACGGCAAACACGCGTCCAACCATCAACACTCGGCTGGCAGGGCCAATAGTCAGACGACTATCCCCTGAGGAAGTCAAGTGTCGGCGTGAGAAGGGTCTTTGTTTTAAATACGAAGAAAAGTTTACACCAGGTCATCAGTGTAAGCAGGCTTTTGTAATAGAAGTTGCTAATTCTGATGAAGAGGAATCTGAGGTCGAGGAAGAGCAACACCAAGAGGACGAGGTTGAAGTACCCAAAGAGGAAGTTGAAATTTCGATGCACGCAATGGCAGGGATTAGAGGGCCGAGGATAATGCGGTTGCCAGCATGGGTCAAGGATCGTAGGGTGATCTTGCTCGTAGACAACGTATCATCACATAACTTCATTAATGCCGAGTTATCCCAGAAACTGAAGCTGCCAACCACAAAGATTGAGCCCTTTGAAGTTCGAGTAGCTAACGGTGAGAGGCTGCGATGCACAGAGTCGTTTCGCAAGGTACCGATCAAGTTTCAAGGAGTTACGGTTAAGGCTGATCTTTATGCTTTACCCCTAGTCGGACCTGACGTCGTTCTTGGAGTACAATGGATCGAGGGATTAGACAAGGTGACCACCGACTACCGAACTGGAGTTATGGAGTTCAAATCTGGAGGTCGGCAAGTCACATTAAGCGCTAGCACTAAAAAAGGTACCAAAGAAGTTGGGTTAAAGAGTATTGAACGAGTTTGGCGAAGTAGCGGCCAAATATATGCAGTAGTGGTCGAAAGTAAGGATACGCGCAAATAACAGAGCAATTTGCGACCAAATTTACCACAAAACTCCAACACAACACAGGTTCGAGAAGATCACCCATTTTTCGAAAAATGCCACTTTATTAGAGTTTGAAAAACTTTATAAAAATCGGGTTTTCGCTCGGAATACGAAACGACACCCGACGACTCGAAAACAAACCAACGCCATAACGACAACGACAAGGCTCCAAACAATAATACGAGACTCTGAATCACTCAGAAACAACACGCAGCAGCAACGAAATTAGCTAAAGCAAATAAGACTCGATATTTGCAAACGAGAGTTCCAATTCACACGACTAATATTCGAAACGCAATACGTCGAACAAAACAAACCAAATATATATACGCTAATTGGTTCATTCGAATAATTACAGCAACATGATAACACGAAGATTATAACAGGAAGGTTCAAAATAGATTACCCGTCTTCGGGAAATTTTGGAAAACAGGCAGACGAACGGATCTCAAAAACTCGAACGGGACCGGGATCTCGAAACGTCTGAATGAAACCTCGAAGCACGGGACTGAGGGCTGCTGTTTCTCAACGGCACGATGGCTCTGCTGCGCGGACATCGAAGACGAATGGGGCGCTGATACGACACGAAGCTGACAGGGATGGAGGGTATCGCTAGAAAAATTGAAGCGCTGGCTATGGTGCACGGCGACTGGACAGGACCTTTGTTTGAAAACGGTCGCTCCTTGCTTCTCGAGGACGGATGGCTGCCACTCAAGAACGGCGGCCGACGGCGGGTATGCTGGATGGCTCGCCGAGAAATAGACGTACAGAAATCTTTTTTTTTTTAGCTGATGCGAGGAGGAGAGAGAGTTGAGAGATAGGTTTCTGATTTGAGATGAAGAATTTCGAGCTGAAACTTAAGTAGGCGAGAGAGAGAGAGATAAGATGAGAGAACGTGCGCGATCAAGGAGGAGAACTTCACCGAAAAATCGCGACAGACTTTCAAAATGAAGGACTCGGTCGCAGGGAGATAATATATTTGATCGAAATTTCACATGCGGGCTTAAGGAGAAACAACATATTTGTACTTGGGTCAGGCCTAAATAATCTATAGGTGTATTGGGCCAAATAAAAACTCAAAGGGTTGGAATTACTAAAAGAATTGGGCATGAAATTAATTTAAATTGAGCCGGAACCAATTTAATCGGGCTGAAAGGAATACAACGCGATAACAAGAATTTTCCAATCGATTCGATTGACGACGAAAAAAAATTAACGGAAATACATATATATTTATATAATACACACAATAATATTTATAATAATAATAATAATAGGAATTTAAAACAATTAGACATTTAATCACAAATAAATATTTACTAATAATAATAATAATAATAATAATAATAATAATAATAATAATAATAATAATAATAATAATAATAATATAAATAAGCAATAATAATGGCAATAATAAACCAATAAATAATCTCAAATAATTCTAATTCAAACGGGGCGTTACATTAAAGTTTGCACTGCAGCAAATATGGTTAAACATACTTTTTTTTTGTTAACGTATTGTTATATAATAAGATGAATATGTTTCAAAATAAGATGAACATGTTACATTATGAGATGAATATGTTGCATTATGAGCTGAATATGTTACATAATAAAATGAATATGTTATATAATAACATGAATATGTTATATATTAAGATGAACATGATACATACTAAGATGAATATTTTACATACTAAGATGAACATTTTGCATTATGAGATGAATATGTTGCTTATTCCATTGAACATGTTGAAAATTAAGATGAACATGTTATATAACAAGATGAATATGTTATATAATAAGATGAATATGTTAGATAATAAGATGAACATGTTACATACTAAGATGAACATGTTGCACTATGAGATGAATATGTTGCATAATCCATTAAACATGTTAAAAATTATGATGAACATGTTACATAATAAGATGAATATCTTATATAATAAGAGGTAGTGTTCTTGTTGCTTCATTTGCTCGTTCTTTTTTTTTTCCACATTCAAACCAAAAAATATATTAAGCACACAAAGATTGTTTTATATCAACAACACCTAAATAGGTCTGGGTCTGCAAAGGCAAGAAAAAAAAAACAACAACCATACACCTGTATACTTGACATATGAAACAAGTTTACAAATTTATTGCATAGCCATCTTGGCTAAACAAACAAAAAATATACAAATATCCTTTTAAAAAAATAAAAACTACAAGAATGAACAGAAGAGCATAAAGACTTGCATTCACCCACAGCTGCAACTCTCATATCCCCTGATTCCAAATTCCCACAGCACCAGATGAAACCTTCCATGTTGTCCATATGACAGGTCACATTTTTTCTAGTTATTCTTGACTGCATATTTGAGTACCCAAAGAGCACCTAAAGTATAGACCTCCACTGAACTTCCAATGAATTCCCATAGCTGTAAGTCCCACTCCTCAAACCTAACCTACCATTGCTCAAGAAGCAAATGAATGATAGACAAATGGAATCAACACCCCCCGTACTGTGTCTGCATGAACCCCTCTCACTATCCTCACTCTTCTCAGCTGACCCCTCACTTGTCCCCACTCCTCTAACACCTAGCCTTGGTACTTCACAATTTCTCACAGAAGTAAAGATATTCCACTCATCCATAACCCTTTGGACTATTTTATCCTCCCCAACCCATTTCTTCTCAAAAGCCCAACTATTTCTTGTTTTTCATAGCAACCACAACATGTAAGTTGATAGGCTAATTCTGTTTCCAGCACTTAACAGCCCTACTACACTGAAATAAGATATGATCAATATTTTTTCCTCACACTCCCAACAGACCTCACATACTACATTACATTCAATTCGTCTCTTTTTCAGTTGAACCCTAGTCCCCACAAACTCACGCCAACATTTCTCGAGTGAGGCATTACATCAAACACGTAATGTGCTTTTAAGAATACAACAAAATCTACATATCAACAATCAATCGCTAGTTAACAAATCCACCTCCTCACATTAATCATTATTCGTAACAATCAATTACAATAAAAGGATGCACAGCCAAAACAAAATTTTTTACCAAAACAATCTATGTTAATAACACAACTGCAAGGGTTTTGTATTAGGAATACATAACAAAATTTTCAAAAATATTAGAAGCATGCCGAAAATATCCAAACATACTTCACACTCGAAATAAAGTACCTCAATGAATCGTGCGTGCGATTGAAATCTCTACATACAAAATTCTATCGGCAAGGTACATATTGATCGTAAATCGTTCGAATATATATTGGGGTAATAATATTGTTCTGATATTGAATCATGAGAGAGGATGAAGGAGGTGGTCGGATTTGTATGTAGAAGAACAATGAGGAAGAAGATGAAGTAGAAAAATTTTTGTTTTGTTTGGTTTTTTTTTTTCCCAAATGAAGAAGAAGAATTGGAATCGTAAAATATATTTGTCGGTTGTGATGAAATTGTTTTGAATTTGTAGGATTATCATATAAATTAGACAAGTATGTGGGAGCTTGAGAATAAATAAAATAGGTACAAGGGGTACAAACGGTATAATAGGTTTTTACAAGTACGAGACAGAGTACAAGCCTTTGGTTAGTTAGCTTTGGTTAACTCATCGATGTGTTTTTACCAAACTCATCGATGTGTTTTTAACTTTTTTAAGTCCTTTAAGTTAGTTAGCTTTGGTTAACTCATCGATGTGTTTTTATCAAACTCATCGATGTGTTTTTAACTTTTTTAAGTCCTTTAAGTTAGTTAGCTTTGGTTAACTCTGTCTCGTACAAACTCATCGATGTGTTTTTAACTTTTTTAAGTCCTTTAAGTTAGTTAGCTTTGGTTAACCGTAATAGTAATTGATTAATTTTTTTTATGTGAATAAGTGGCGTCACCTTCACGATTGTCCATTGACGATTGTTGCGTCAACCCCTTTAGGTTTAGGCCGTCAAGAAACACCGAACCCATGGAATCCGAACAGCCCCTCCTCGCACCACTCGAAAGCAGAGATACACAAAGGATAACTAAATGGGAGGCGTTTGTGAGGGAATTGAACACGATGAGCTACATAGCCATGCCCATGGTGGTGGTGTCGGTGTCGCAGTACCTGCTGCGGGCCGTGTCGATGATGATGCTGGGCCATCTTGGCGAGCTCGCCTTATCAAGCGCCTCAATTGCTACCTCTCTTGCCAATGTCACCGGATTTAGTCTCCTCGTAAGGGCTATTGTTACTTTTATTTAGTACATGTAATATTAATTTCCTTTCGTGTTTTATCAGGATTGTGAGTGCTTCTGCTTGTAATGCCTGCGTTGTGCTTCGTACTTGTTTGTGCGTGTAACGTCTGTTAGGTGTTTGACACATTGCCACATTGCCTGCATTCCATCTATTTTTTCTTTTCTCTTTACCTTTTTGTCCCATTTCTTTTTTCATTGAAGGTTTGTAAGGCGTCATATAAATGATGCAAGTAATTCAGAGGGAGGGAAGTTTAACAGGAAGATGTGAATGAAGTAGATGTTACAGTATAATATGATATTAGCTCTTGGGTTTTCAGCCTCAGGTTAACCGGTTTTGCGGTGAACTTGTAGGGGAAATTGTGACATGGGATCCTTGTTTTTTTAGCATCCCTGCTGGTTAACTGAAAGCTTTTCAGAAACATTTCGAATAGCAAATTTGTTGGGTATTATTTAACCAATGTCTATAAATAGGTCCAATGAATAGTTGTCCATGATTGATAACAAGGCAAGCTGGTCACTATAATCTACTATATGACTACTACTGAAACCGGACTGGATAGTGCGGTATTTGGAACCTGACCTTTTTCTATCTAAGTCTTCAGCATGGGTGTACCAACTTAACGTCATACAGTTGTCATGACAGCACCTCAAGATAGATTTGCAGGTCACTGTGCTTCACTTTTCCCCTCTTGGGGGCACTCCTTATTTAAGCTTTTTTGTCTCAGGACTCATTATGCGCATGACTGAAGAGTGTAATGGGGCTGCTGAGCCCATCATCAATGCAGTGAGCTTTCATAAATTTACTTGATAAATCACAATTTGTATGAGTGTTATGTTGCTAAACAAAGAATTGCAAACTATTTCTAACTGACTACACCTGCGCTGAAAATCTCAGGTCATATATGTCAAATATATTTATTGATGTACTTTGTAAGGATAGCATGACAACAAGGCAGTTAGAATTTCAAATCATTTACAGAGTTTCCAGGTGCCTTCAGAATATCTTATGCTGATTTTTGGGGTCTTAATTGGTGCTTAATCTATATTTGACTGATTTGTTATTTCTTAAATGCTCTTACCCCTTTTATTACCTATTATCATTTTGTATTAACTATAGATTAGTATATAGAAACTTATCAATAGGAGAGGTGCGAAGAGATTTATTTTGTAATAGATTGACAATTGGGCAAGTTTCTTGCTGAGTAGAGAACCTGTTGGAGAATTATGAAATCAAACTTCTTTTCCTTCCTTATTATTATATTGTCAATAAAATTATAGATTTTTCTTTCGTGATTCTTTACTTCTAGCATGTTCTTTTTTTATGCTTAGTTTGGATCATTCAAGCAATGCATCACAACTTAATATTGGAATCTCCCAAGCAGAGTGGAATGGCTAGCGCATTGGAGACGCTATGTGGACAGGCCTATGGAGCACAACATTATCAGAAAGTTGGAACCTTAACTTACGGGGCCATAATATGGCTCTGCCTTGCATGTTTTCCTGTCTGTGTATTTTGGATTTACGCAGACAAGCTTTTGATATTAATCGGCCAAGACCCTGTAATTTCTGCCGAAGCTGGCAAGTTTGCAGTTTGGATGATCCCTTCACTATTTCCCTATGCCATTCTTCAGTCCTTGATTCGCTACTTGCAGACTCAGAGCTTAATATTTCCTATGCTTGTTAGTTCGTTGGCTTGTCTTTGTATCCATTTTCCTCTTTCATGGGCTTTTATATTCAAGTTAAAGCTGGGAAATGCTGGGGCAGCACTTGCTATTTGTATCTCGTATTGGTTGAATGTGATGTTCCTTGGATTTTATGTGAAGTATTCTTCAGCCTGTCAGAGAACTCATGCTCCCTTCTCAAGGAATGTTTTAGGAACTGCAGGGGAATTTTTCCAATTTGCTATACCTTCTGCTGTTATGGTTTGGTAATTTACTTTTTTTTTTATAAATAGATAGCTATAGCAACATACCCTTGAGGTTTAGATTTTATTTTTTGTCCCCAAAAAGAAAGGCTAAAAGAAATTTTGGTAATACGAAAGAACAGAGATTGTGAAACTTTTTTTCCCTTATGAACAGAAAATTGTCAGTCGAATCTAAACTATTTTTTCCCGTTAATGATTTAAAATTTATCGGTTTTTCCATTATACCTAAACCTCAAGGATATTCTTGTAATTTTTCGTTTCTATAAATGTATAGTTGTTATATCTGATTCTCATACGATTATTCATGCTATGTTGCGAACTTTGTAGTTTAGAGTGGTGGACATATGAGCTAGTCATATTGTTTAGTGGGCTGCTTCCAAATCCCGAGCTGGAAACCTCGGTGCTGTCTATATGGTATGCTAGTTTTATTATGTATTTTCCATGACTTGAAATTTCGAGTGCATCTAAGTTGGTTTCTTGATTTCATGAGCAGCTTGACAATTACAACGCTGCACTACCTCATACCATATTCTTTTGGTGCTGCTGCAAGGTTTAATTCTCAATCATTTGCCCTGCTGAATTTATGCGAGTTTTATTTCTATGAACTAAATGTGTTGTTATCATGTAGCACTCGGATTTCTAATGAACTTGGAGCTGGGAAACCACATGCAGCTCAACTAGTTCTATCTGCCGTATTGCTTTTGACAAGTGCTGAAATTGTTCTTGCAACCGCTGTTATTTTCTTCTGTCGTCATGCACTGGGTTATTCTTTTAGTAATGAGGAGAGCGTGGTCTCGTATGTGGAAAAAATGAATCCTTTCCTTTGCTTCTCAATTGTCATGGATAGTTCACAAGCAGTCCTCTCAGGTGTTTTTTGTTACCTTTTTTTTTTTGTTTCTTCCTCTTGTTACTATGTTATGACTGATATTTGCGTCAGGAAATTATCTGCAGGGTTGCACCATTACTTGATTTCTCTTTTCCGATGGGCATGTGCAAATTGTGCTAGTTGCTAAGTTTAAATGTTGCATGCTTTGTTTAGACGTATTGGATAACTGGAATTAACCTTTATAGGTTGAAATTAAAAGTGTCTGTGCTATATATGGAACATCTTTGTTACAGTTTTGACGCCTTTTGATGAATGATTTTTGCAACTGGCATTATCTTTAGAATAATGCTACTTGTACCCTTTGGTGTACCACTTGGTTTACATCCAATATTATTCATTAAGGGTAAATGGGTACATGTACCCCTTGGATGTAAACCAAGTGGTACACCAAGGGGTACATGTAGCATGATCCTTATCTTTATGTGTCAAAAGGTACTTTGAGTGATGAACTAATTTATCACTTAGACCACGAGAGCCATAAAAAAGGGGATGATCAGGTGGGTTATTTTTATTTTTATTTTTTTTTCCTGACAGATTTACAGTTTAGAACCAACTTTATGACTTTATAACATGTAGACCGACATCCGAAATTATTCTTGAGAAATAGAATTTTGTATCTTCAGACGAGCAACAGAGCTATATTTTCTTACTTCCATGACTAACATCCCGGCCTTTTGTCTTCTTCTGTTGTAGGAATCGCTAGAGGTAGTGGCTGGCAGCACATAGGGGCATGTGTTAATCTCGGGGCATATTATCTTGTGGGGATTCCTGTTTCATTATTACTTGGATTCATTTTACACTTGAAAGGTGAGGGTCTGTGGAGTGGACTTATAGTTGGAGCCGCAGTACAATCTATCTTGCTCGGCATTGCAACACACCTCACTGATTTGGAGAAAAAGGTACGGACTTCCCACATCAAACTGATCTATGTTTGATTAATATGCATGGTTTATTCGCCTTTTTTATCTTTCTTTGATCAAAGTACCAAAAAAGCTGGAAATACGAAAGCCAAATTTAAGGAGCTTGTGTTATTAATGTCAGGCAATAGAAGCTAGAAGGAGGATATTTGATGGTAAATATTCTTCACGGGACGAGTTGATTTGAAGGAACAGATTATGATTCTGTAATTTGAATGTCCATGATCTCCCTGACTTACCACGTTTGTTGTACCATAACTATGACAAGATCAGCAAGGGAAAAGGAGGGACGTTGAAAGTTCAAGTGCTTCTCGATCCGAGTGTTAGCAAGTTGAAGAAAGGATGGAATATCATAGCCTTGGTGGGGAAGAACGTGTTTTCTCCAATATGTTGTTGGAATTATCTTGTAACTTTGAATTTACTTAGTGGTGTAAACTGAACTAGATAAAGATGAGTTAGTTGATCGAACAATTTTAGTTTTTTTTTTTTTGTTTTTTTTTGTTTTTTCAAAACGATAGGCATTCATTCAAACTGAAATATGTACAAACCGAAAGCAAAAGCCTAATGCTCCAAGCCAACAAAGCAGAGACCAATCACAGAAGATGGTCTAGACTCCCAAAACAACTACAAAACAAAACTAAACCAATCAAACTAAAGAATCCAACCAAAGCAGAAACAGAGGCAGATAACTTGAAGGCCCTTGAGTGCAAGATTTTTTTAAAAAATAAGAACAAACACAAACTACCAAAGATCAATACCCCAAAAATAACAGAAGAAGAAAAACTGACATCACTGAACCAAAAGGACCTAACACTCAATTCTTCCCTTCATGCTAATGAGGATTCAGTTTACAAGCTTTAAATTCCATCCAGTCAGTTTGTGCAGCTCTCAGAATAGCACGATCAGGCATCCAAGAAGATTGAAATTTCCGGAGATTCCTTGCCTTCCATAACCACCAAAGAGTATAGGTGGTTAACTCAATCCTAGCTTCTGAAATGTCATTCTTGTCCACTGAACATACAGAGTTCCACCACAGTTTGAAGGATGTTGTCATTTCTGATGCTTCCCATTAGACTGCAGATAGTTTCCAGATTCTCTTAGCCCTCTCACAATGCAGCAAAATATGTTCTACTGACTCAAAGCTTTCACCACAGCAGATACATCTGGGATCAACCTCCATGCCTCTCCTTTTCAGATTAAGGCAGGCTGGGAGGGAGTTTGTGCAACATTTCCAGATGAAATGTTTTAACTTACTCGTCACTTTCATTCTCCAACTCCTGTGCCTAACCTTCTTGTCCTGTTGAGCAGTATCACTCCCCTCAGCCACATCCAATGTTCTAAAAGTCGCTAGACGCCCGCTAGGCGCTCGACCAGCGCCTAGCGCCTAGAGCGACTAGGCGGGGCCTAGGCGGCGCCTAGTCGGAGCCTAGAAATCAATATTAAGTACCTTATTTTTTATTTATTTTAACTACCTACAAAATAAAATTATCTCAACTTATAATATATCGACACACTTAAGTCCCAATAATCAAATTAATATATTTTAAAGAAAACATGAGAACAAATAATGTAATTAATATTTCAAAAAAATTAAAAAAAAATAAAAAAAACTGAAAAATTGCCGTCGAGCCCGCCTAGGCGCCGCTTAACCGCAAGGCCGCCAAGCCCGCCGAGCCCGCCAAGGCCGCCTAGGAGCGCCTAGGGCCGCCTAGGCCCGCCTAGGCGCCGCCTAGCCGCCTGGCCGATTTTTTCTGCCGATTTGTGCAAATCGGAGGCGCCCGGGCACCGCCTAGCGCCTAGGCGCCGCCTAGGCGGGCGCCTAGGCCGATTTTTAGAACAGTGGCCACATCAAGCTCCCAAATTTTGTTAAGCACTAAGTGAGAGTAGGAACTAGAAACAGAGAATGTTCCTTTGATATCCAACCCCCATTTCCATTTATCAGCCAACAGAGGATCTAAGGTTTTGATTTGTAAAATAGCCTCAACATCAG